AATAAGCTAGACCTAGCCTAGGCTAATTAATTTTAAAAAATAATACAGCGGTACAAACAAATTCCTGTCGTTAGGACAGCGAGTGGAAAAGGAGACTCCCATGAAGTCAAGTGTACGTTTTTCTTATTGAAAAACAGCTCCATACTTTAAATTAACAGTCTAAACTCGTGCTTGTCAATCACAAATTATCAAGCAATACATTGTTTATTCCAGTAAGTTACAGCAGTCTTTCTGCACATACAAATAAACAAGATGCTTTTGCTTCGTAGGTTCGCTTCGCGTAGCCTTGTTTAGATTGTTTATATCAGGCTACGATGTATCTACGAAGCCTGCGCGCAGGTAAAATTGCAATAGTTTGTGTCGGTACTGTATAAATACCAGACATTTTTAAAGACTTTGGGCGCACAGCCATTAGTTGATTAGTTGAGTTGGACTACATGAAATGTCTGGACTTCAAGACTAGTAATTACTTTCGAGTACAAATATGAACAGCAGCCATTACGCTGACTTCAAAAAAGGCCTTGTCCATTTCGTTTGTGCATGTTGGGAAGCCACTCTAGACAGACTAAGAAAGGGTAGTTAAATTGGGATGTAAGGTTGTTAAGAAAGTATAATACATACTCCAAGTATTGAAATACACGCCATACACGATGGCGTGTATTTCAATACTTGGAGTATGTATTATACTTTCTTATCTGAGATTAATCAGTGGACCTTTCGGTTTAAGGTTGTTAAAGTAATTAGAAAATAATTCACTTCTAAGTGATGGGGATAATGTGCAAGTAAAATCCAAATCTTGTAAAACTGGAGTTAAAATTTGAGGGTTTAGGGCCTATAAATAATCATTTTCCCATCTCAAAAATTTTGCCGTCTCGGAGATTCTCTGTAAGTAATTTGTCCCCTCTGGCCCATGCTCAGAGTTATATAGGCCTACAGTACAGTGCTTGTTTTTCGTTGAGAGGTAAGCAATTTTACTTATTTGGAAGCGGTTTGGCGCAGCATGAAAGGTTTGCTTTCCCAACCTCGAGGTCGGGGTTTCAATTCCTCGCTGTGCATTTCGCTTGTGTCCTCCCATAAAATGTTAGCGCCAGAAATCCGACGCCGCATTTTGAAAATATGAGCCGATTTCTACAGATATTTTGCAGAAAATTTGGGCCTTGATAGTAGGAACACAAGTATTTACGATTCTGCGCATCTATTTTTCTAGAGGTTTTCCCGTGCAATTTGAATTAGTTTTTTGTCCTCTCCGCAAAAAAAAAAAAAAAAAAAAAAACATTTGAAGTAATGTTTGTTGCAAATTAAGATTTGCAACAAACATACGGTATGGCCACTCCAACCTCACCCTCCCACCCAAATAACGTCTTTAAAACACAGTCCTGTCAGCGTGTGGCTGAGAACTCGTGTATTGTGGGAATCAACCATGCCTGAGAAATATTTACTTGCAGTTGTTGTGACGACAGCTTTTAAACTTGCAATAAGAAAACGATCAACACACTCCTACATACATAAAATTTTATTAATGTTTATTTTATTTGAAATTCTCCATATTATACATTATTAAAATATTTGGAAATTAAAAAAAGAAAGAAAAACATTTTTGCATGATTAATGCAGTATGCATGTAGACCTATTAATGTTGTAGGGCCATAGCAAAAATACTTTACATTTATGTTATTTTTTATGATTATTGCGCAATAATATTGGGACAAGTAAAATTGTTTTCAGGACAAGCGCATTTTTCAAAGGTACTTTTCCGGGGTCAAGTGAAAAAATACGAAATTCCCTCATGCCTGCCTACTAATTTTTTCATTAATAATAATATTAATAATGGATTTTCAAAAATTCTATGACTGGAAGTTTTATTTGTTGACTCGCAACATTTCATCCAGTTTCACTGACCTTTGTCAGGTGAATGACCCAGTAGACTGGTCATAAGGTGAAAAATTGTCATTCAACATTTAAAAAAAAAAAACTATTAGTTTCTTTTAGTTGTTTTTCTTTCTTACTGAACGCACCAAATTGTTGTGTGCCACTGAAACAAAAGTGTATGTTCAGTTAAATAAATAAACAAAAAAAATCCAGTGACATTAAAATTATTCTAATAATAATCCATCATCACTCAAATTCATATTATATATTAAGATATGGAAATTTTTCTTATTACAGTGACAATTGTTTCTGGTTGTTGTTTTAATAATATGCTTCACTAAAGGCCTCTAAGCAACTACACATTTTATCTCAGTAGTGAGGCTAACCCTAGTGCTAGTGTACAGTATTTGAGAAAATTTAAGATAAAATCTGCACATATGAACGATATACAAGCTGTTATGATCCTGAGTACACATTAATAAAACTCTTAATGGGATTATCTTCAATATTGTAAAGATTGTTTACAAATGATGTTTGCATCTATTACCATATACCACCACACTACCTACCCAAAACACATGCTACCGCCTCTCTGTGTAAAGGTTTATAAGTTTCCAAGAATTTCATAAAGTACCACTTGGTGCATAATGTACAGTATGGTTATTTGCACAAAAAATAGTTCAAGTCAGTTGATCACTCAAGTACTTGGACATCTTAAAAATATTTCTGAATATTACCCACTGTATATCAAGTGTTCTCCCAATTGAAAAATTTTTTACTGGTAAATTTGTATATATAAAGCCAGCTAAGCACATGCAACTTAGGGTATTACCTCTTTTAAGTGGAGTTCAATGGCTTAAAAAAACAATAAGTATCTAATCATAGCCTACAGTAGGCCTGGATTAGAATGATGATCATTTATTGAAAGAAGGCCAGCCTAGGCTACCTAGGCCTAATAATTGCTTTTTTTTTTATTCTACCAACACACAATTTTTATTGGTTGGTCAGTCATTTTTACTGGTAAATTGACGGCTAAAACGTCTTCATTAGAACATTGCTGTATTATTCTGCTTCTATGTGATACAAGCACTTTTTAACCACAAGGAAAAAGTGCTATAAATGACCATTAAATTAATATTTTTAAAGCTCTAATCATCATTGTGCAGTACTTCAAAAGTGATACTGGCAAATTTGGTATCTTGGATAGCAAGTCTTCCAGTAATTTAGTATCCTTTCTTTAAAATTTTTTTGTGAAATATACAATAAATATCAGAAAAATATTAAATAACTTATGTTAAAATCGCAATAAAATATGCACAATATATAAAATGATTACACTTTATAGCTAATTAGGTTTGAATTAAAATTTACAGACTTCAGTACATAATTTCTTTCAAAATTTAACTGGAATGGTATGCTTTTAAAGTCCGGGTACACACTATGCCGTACGAGTGTCGCACAACCGTCAGCCGATGAATCCTGCTCTGCTACCTGTGAGCGCTAGACGATGCAACACTGTCTGCTGATTGTCAGCGGCAGTCTGAATGGATCGTCATTAAAACACGATCTGTTGCGTGCACATCGTGGCATTGCATTCTTCATAGAACCATCGGGCGTAGTGAATGCTCGACTTTATGGCACCAGAACATAGTCAAGTTTTCTTAACAAAATGACTAACCAGGATGTTTGTAACTGGTGTTAAAGACGTTGTTAAAATGGATTGAATATACAATCCTGAAAACAAAATGTGGCTAAATTTTACACTAGCAGCATCTCACTTTTGTATCTAAAACAACTTTTAAGCAAGCTTTACCTATTCATAGGCTAACTGTAGCCTAGTTTCAAATGTAAAAATAAACAAGAATGCAGCGAGCTGGATGATACAACAGTTAGGCCATGGCTGGAGGTACGGTACCGAACCACATATGCACACGTTCCAACCACTAGACCTAAAAAATCGGTTGACGGGAGAATTTGCAGGTAAAGTGCACCCCCATTCCCACCAACTAGTGAAAAGCGCCCTCAACATCGAAATGTTCTGATAGCATTAACATTTTTAGAGAATTTATAAGATACCTATTCATTCATGTGGCATCATGTGGCTTAATTTCATCTATTTTACCGTGCGAATCCCATGTTTTTTTACAGGCCATACGTTAAAATTTTGTGGTTGTACTGTAAGTACAATGTATCTAGGCCTAGCCTATTCTTAGTTTTTAAAATTCGGGTGAACTTGAACAAATTTGGGAGACCGGGAGATAGCATGTATATTCGGGAGACTCGAATCGGGAGGGGTGGAACCTTTGCATGATACAGAATAGGATGTTGATTGGAGTACACAATGAAAAGAAGGAAACCTTAACAGTTCTGCAGGCATGTGAATCGGCCTCTGCTTCTTTGTTTGATTTGACATTGTAGTATGTTGAAGATACCTCAAGATTTGTTACAAAAAAAATAATGCTGCTTCAACATTTTTAAATGGATATTGTTCCAACATGCTGTATATTACAATTTACATTATGATTGATAGACTAGTTTTAAGGTTGGGTCAAGCCGCCTCCACTTATTCAACACCCTGGATTGGTGTAAAATCGTCAGAACAATAATAATATCCACTGTGTTTTTAAACACTCTTGACCCAGGCAGTAGTGATAAATCAAAAATGTCGTATCTGCTTATGTTCTTATTCCACACTGGCCTGTAGTACTTACTGTATAAAAATAGGGTTAGGGTGTGCGAGAGCATAAATAGCACATGGCCTTCCTGCACTGCACTGCTTATGCTAAGGCTCATCCACTTAAAAGCATCAATTTTTAGTTATTGTGCAATAGCCTATTTGCACTTTGGGGGTGAATATTATACTGAACATTAGTCAGCAGCCTAGGCCTAGAATTTACGATTAAAAGTACATTTACACTCAGCACTACAACAGTGAATCTTGAATCTAGCCTAAATAAACACACCACTGAACTGCATGCAGCACCACTGCATGTGTGTGTTGTCAGCTGTAGCCTGTGTCTGCTGTGATGTGTATACTTGTTGTTGTGTACTTCTTCCTAATCATTTCAATATTTTTACATTCGCCAAGGCAATACAGTTTTATTGACCATATTACAGGGCTCATATCTTACCTTGTTTACGAACTGGCATAGTTTTACAGAAAGATAATTCAAAGTTAGAACAAAGTATGTATCCAAAAGGTATTCACAAACTCGACGGTTATCGCAAGCAACGTATCTCACTTTCTTCGCTAGAGCGCACACGGGGTCACACCCGCTAGCAATCCTGTTTTGCTAGGCCTGTCGAAACTTTTGCAAAGTATTGAAGCTCGCTCTGCCAGAGCAAAAGGCATATAACACACTTATAACGGCAATAAATCAGCATAAATAACTAAAGTCCGATCGCTTTTTAAAATATGAAGTCAGCTCCTTCCTCTTGCATGAGCCACAATCCGTGCGAATTCCTAAAATCTCGATTCAAAACCACGGCGAAATCCCTGTGAACTGCAAGATGGCGGCAGACGCGGAAGTGATCATGTGACCTAACCCTTTAGCAAAAGTTCACTAACCGCAGCCAAAAATTTAGATTTTCCCTAAAATCGGTTTTAAATTTGATGAACAGGTCGGTATAGAAGTGTCATCTATTTTCAATAATATTTCTAATAAAAATGTGTAAACCCTAGTAGTATATAGCAGGATTAAAAATAAACAAGACAGAGGTGTTTATGTAGCTTGAAATCGCGCCCTGTGTTTTTTTTTATTAATACGCCAAATGAAGTAAAAACAATTGAATATTAAAATTTAAGATCGTCATTTCTAGAGCTGAGAAGATAACGCATCCAAAGAGCATGGTGTCTTTATTGACAAATTGCGCATCATTTCTGTGTTTTAAATATAAACAACTGTGATGTCTTAAATCATTTTGAAAGCATATGGTAGGCCTACTGAGGTCTTTCCAAACAGATGCTAACGCTCTTCAGAGAGCATCAAATTGTTCAGTAAATGTTTTTCTTTTTATAATATCTAGGCCAACCATATGATGAATAAACTACAATTCGTCATTGGCAGTCATCTTCATGCAACATACATAACAGGGCCTGCCTCACTAACTGTAAGCTCAATGGTCATAATTCCGGAGTACCAATCAAACTTAAGAACTAATCAGAACTAGCAGGGACACAAACACGCACATGTCCCACAAACCACATATGTGGGACTACAGGCCCATAGCGGTCTCTTATGGGGGGGGGGGGTTAAGGTGGTTACTACGAACGGTACCCATTTAACGAACAATTGATATTCGTGGATATATTTACAATGTTCTCAAGAGTATCGGAGATCACAAGCCAAAGTGTCCACTTTCCACTGAAACAAACTTCCCACAAATTAATTCACGCTACTTGTGGGACCTTGGCAACAGTATCTAAAGGCTGGGTCTTGAGTCACATTTTCCTATCAAAGCGTTACGTCATTTCTTCAAAACTAGCACTAGCATTTCTTTCTGATCATACAAAAATCTGCATAGGCCTATGCACTATAGGGCATATACCAGTACTGCTAGAAAGTGGATACCCCGCCCCGACCCCCGGTTCCGCCGGCCATGTTCCAAATATTTAACTGCACTTATGCTGCATAGACTTTGATAGTCAGAGATTTTCAGCATAATTAAAGGAATTTATTAATATCAGTGGTACCGACAGGGGTTTTAGCAAGTCCGACGTGGGCAAACCAAATGGCCGCTTCATAAGGCCTCGGGTAGGGTCCAGAATAATGTTTTTAGACCTTAGCGATATTAGGAATTTTGGAACTCAAATAACTTTGTTTGGATTGACAAAAATATTTTTAGGCCGCATACCTAGTGGCATGCTCGGTGGCTTAGGTGGCGTTTCTTTACTCTAAAGTTAAGGTAGACGTTTTTATAGACAGCAAAAGATCTTACATTGACATTTTATTTTTTGCTTATCGATTTTGTATCTCTACGGAGGAATTGACTGAGATACAGATATTAAGGCAGACCTTAAAAATCCAATATTCGTGTTTGGTCGTTTGTAGATTGAACACTTGAATTTTTTAATTTTGATTTTTTTTTTATTTGGTATCATAAAAACATTTACACAGATTGAAAAGTTGGACATCGAAATACAATACAGCATAAAATACAGCATAAAGGCCTAAAAGTACTTTAAAAAGATAAATCATGGTAAAAATATAAAGATATAAAAATATCAGAAGATATTAAAATTCATCAAAGGGCAAAATTTAAAAAGACACTCAACAAAGAACAAGGATGCCAGGGGATGACCCATGAAAGTATTATTATAACCACATATTTCCAGTGGTATCCAAAGTGGCTATAATACACGCTTGTCCCACAAACACCGGTGTTGTTCCAAACAACGCATGTGTTTTACGTATACGTTTACGCTGTCGTTCTTTGCTGAGGGTCCTTTAAAGCAACAATAACCAAGGGCGGGGCTTGGCGGAACGGTACATTGAATATTTACGTCAGCTGGTAAGAGATTCGCAGTAAGCATGATGCTTCTATGAATACATGCATTTATTAATAGAATAGACTCGATAAAGAATTAATCGAAGGATGAAATTTGGGAAAGAGCTGTCATACGGCTAATCCCAACTTCAAGTTCGTTCAAGCGCATCGCTGTCATCATACGTAGTATATAAATATAGGCCAAGATGACCAACAGTAACACTATCTTCAAAATGAGCTACTGATGTTAATTACTGTTGATTTATGTTGTTTATATGTGTAATGTGATGATGAAATTGTGGTTGTATACCAGACCTATAGGGAACTGTACGATGAATATGTTTTAATTGGAATTAGCTTAATATAAATAAAATAAATTTTTTAATTATGTTATAAAAAGATATTATGATGGGTTGCCGTCTGCGCATGCAAAACTTAGTACTGCTGAGTAGGTTTGTATTGTTGTGCTTTATGTTCGTTCTTGTAAATTTGAAACTTGGAAATAAATTAAAAATTGGCATCGCAATCAGTATGTACGACAGTAAACTACTGCAAGCTTAACTTTTGCGATTTTTCCAATAATATAGATGGCGCACTTACCATTTCTAGTTCAGCGTGTTAATCTCCATACTAAACTACATACAAAGAACATATGATTTTAAATCCTGAGTTCAATACGTTTTTTCACAATAATGTTAAATACAATGATAGTATCAGTAATATATATAATTATTATCGTTATTATTATTATTATTATTATTATTATTATTATCATCATCATTATTGTTATTAGTATTATTATTATCATTATTATTATTATTACAATCATTATCTTAACATTTTTACCATTATAACTATTCTATAATTATTTATTATTATTATTATTATTATTATTATTATTATTATTATTATTATTATTATCTTCATCATTATCATCATCATCAACATCATCCTCATTATCATCATCATCATCATCTACATTTGTATATCATCATCATCATCCTCATCTTCTTCATCATCGTCTGCATCAGCTAAGTATTATTAGAACCAACGACATTAGCAGCAATAGCATAATATTATTAATATAGCGTTCTAAATCAAAAACGGTTGTCTTCAATTTGAAATGTGTTGATCCCCATCCATATAGTAGGCCTATAGACCTCCACTGTATCTGCGTTTCACGAGAATCATTCTTCTTCATCTTCCATTATTTATTTGCAAACAAAATGGTATAAAAGAATATAAAATTCAACCCAGGACACGTCTTGAATAAAAATATACATGCACATATGCAGGGAGAACAGACAATATTTTGTGTCCTTTTTTAATTTGTAAATACATAAATAACTAGAAAAATAATACATTTTATTCATATTCACCAACTGGTGATTCGGACCATGTACCAATTTATCTGTTACCAAGATTTTAACATCGCAAATATAAAAATAAAAGTACAGTGAACAAAAAAGAACATATTTCGAAACGCAAAATTCAGAGTAAAATACACATGAACCCCTGGAAGATCTGCAGTATTCCGAAAACTCTCTAAAACTGGGAAGGAGAAAATCATCAATCGGTTCTACTAATGTTGATCAGCATCTAATTATGATGTACCATATTTTATATAGTTTTTGTCGTGTTAATAATGGTTTGATTTCACGAATATCTTGTTTGTACAATGATTTTGTTACAAAATATCCTAAGTTGATATCTTTTCTAATTCTTTATTTACATATTTATTGTAATTATTGCAATATTAATTATAATTATAGTAATATAATAATAATCTTTTTATACCTTGTGATTTTATAGTTTTGATTATATTTTTTATGTTTATAGCAATTTTCGCCTGTAAGTGGGAACGAAAGAGTTGGACGATTGTTGAAAATAAAAAAATAAAAAATAAATAAATAGATAAATAAATAAATATAAATAAATAAATAAATAAATAAATAAATAAATAAATAAATAAATAAATAAATAAATAAATAAATAAATAAATAAATAAATAAATAAATAAATAAATAAATAAATAAATAAATAAATAAATAAATAAATAAATACTATTCTTATAACGCTTCATTGGTTACATTATTCTTATGGCCTTAATCACTTCTTGGCCTTTCTTCTTGTTCGTATTTATACGTATATTCCTTATAACTTAAGTTGAGGGATATTGACTAGCCCAAAGGCATTCGTTTTAAATAAGGAATATTTTTACTTAGCGTGTATTCTTCGTAAATTCTTATCTAATTGAAATTTGTTTGTGATCATAATTAGGAGTCCCGTATTTGATTACGTCATAAAATTTAGTATTTTGAGAATCAAGTGGTGCTACCAACGTCAAAAAAAAAATGCAACGTTCCTGTCAATTTTAAATGTAATGTCATCTATATAGTAATGATGATATATTAATTGTAACAATATTAATAACCGAGAAGCTATAATAAATCTACTAGAATAATCTACGAACTAAAATTCTTATGACTCGGTTTGTGCTAATTTGACAGCGCTATATTATTTATAGTGGATATTGGCGCTTCAATATTAATCTTACCGATTGATAGATAGCTAATAAACCTGCAACTTCTTTATGTCGTTTTATAGTTTGTCTTTGAAAGTTTGAACTTCAGAGACTTCCAATTTCGAATGACTGCGTCGAAGGAGATGAGTTGCATTGTAGCTCGGCTTTTGTGCCCGAAAATCAAATTACAGCGTATTTCAAGCCTTGTATAAGCCAGTGGTCACGTGTTATATTTTGAGCGACAATGAGGGTGACGCAGTGGATTATCTAGCAATATTGGTATGGGGAGGGGGATAATGGGGTGATTAATTAAGGGGAGCTAGTTGGCAAAATAAGGTGATATGAGGTGATACACTTGAGTGTAATGTTTTCGGCAAATTTCCTGGGTGGGAGACGCCTGGTGGAGCAGAGAGCAATCTTTTTTCCCCATGCTCATCCGTAAATACAGGCCTACGCATATGTGAAAGGCACAGATAATGTAATAATAATAATAATGGCCGACTTATAGAGCGCATTATTATGGAGACCTCTATTTAAAACAAACATGGAAACAGGAAAATATACTTAATCCATAACCCTAAAGACAAACTAATCCTACTCTTTCAAAAACTAAGCATGGTTTGGTCCTGGAATCCGAGGAGCATCCGCCCCTTGTTCAGCTTTTTTTTTTAATTGCTGCTTTGACCATCCATGCAGCCTCCAACCACAAGGCCGCTTAGGCCGAAGATGGGTTGCCAATGTAGAGATGAGAGCTTATTTAATCGGTTTCAGAATGCTATAACTGGGGAAAGGTGATATTACGAAAATCAGCTGGGAGCTGGGACTCTCTCGTCAATATCCTCAAATTAGTGTGCAGCAGTCTGAAAAAGCATATTAAAAAGCTCAAACAAATTAAATTATGCCTATTTAAAAAAAAAACATCTATCAATCTATTTTACTTCTAAATTCATATTTCTGTCATTGTTGAAAGCAAACATTACTTTAAATAATGATTTGAAAAAAGGAATATCGGCATTTAAGCTATCAAAGCCTATGTTATAAAATAACTGTAAATGTAGGCCTAATGGCATTTATACGCTGATTTTTTTTCAATTTCACATAATTATGAAGGCACTCCAGAAACTACTGTATCCCCTCATTGTATCAAGGACTTATAACTGTTACCCTTATAGGTCCTTGATTGTATTATAGTACAACTTAATTGTTAAAATCTTTTTATTTATTAATATGCCTAATATTTTTTACATCAGGAAGGGGTAGAAAATCACATCGCAATAATGAAAGCGTAAGGATTACTTAAGGCAGTTACGTTGCGATTTCGAATATATCTACATCGATCTATACAAGAATATGCAATTGTATAATGGAAAGCGGTTTGGCGCAGCGGGAAGGGTTTGGGTTCCCAATCCTACCGTATGCGTTAAGCTTCTCTCCACCCTCAGGAGCATAAAATGGGTGAATGGGTACCTGGTGGGGCTGTCTTTACTGCGCCAATATGGCAGCAACACTTAGGCCTAAGATGGATCAATGACCATGGAAAACAAGGCGCTATAAATAACAATAGAATTTTTTTTTTTAAAAGCTTAATATTTTAACGACTACAGTTATTGTTGCTTAGGAAAATCATTCGTGGAAATTGACAATTCTCTTGAAATTACTTTTCTCATAACATAACTCAAATATATTCCCGATCGTCTGTGTGTTCAAAGGAGAAAGTCAGCTAAAATTATTGTCAAATGTATTGCATTGTGAAGTACACAAAACATACCAATTAGTTTTATCTTGCAGTGATTTATGATCTGGATTCACACATCATGCTACCAATGGACCAATTTGGCTAAGCCCCGCCCCTTGGATATTGCTGCTAAGGTCCACAAACAACAGATACGCAAACATAATTTTTTGTGAGAAAACATGTGCGCTTGACGCATGCGTATTCGTGGCCCTGTTCTGATTAGTCAGTTGTTAAGATCGGGGTTCTGATTGGTCAGTTGTTAAGATGGGGGGGGGGTCCCAAGTTATAAGAGGTCATTTCTGGGAGATCTACAGTGGCTGATCCAGAAATTCAAAATTGAGGTGGGGAGGAAGTGGGGCTACGGTAAGAAAATTTATGATTTATGGCACCTTTAGATGGCTAAAAATGACACTCTTAGACATAAATTTTAGAATATAATTTTCTTTTTTCCCCATTTATTAGTATAAATTGGAAAAGTTTAGGGGCCCTGGCTGGCTGTTCCCCCTTCCTTTAAATCCTCCACTGATCTGCAGTGGTTAATCACTTTTGGTAACACATTTAATTTTATTACCGCATATAGTGATACCCATCTTTACTGACTTCCATGATGAGACAATTGATAATAAAATATTGAAAACATGCAAATATTATGAATTTGCTGGAGATGGGTTATGGAGGAGATTCTTGCTTGCTGGAGTGCTGAAGGTCGTCCCAATTTCCGGGAGACTCCCACGAGGTCCAGGGGACTTGGGACCCCTGTAAGTTAGATTGACACACTGGAAAGATTCATTGCTGTCTCTTATACACATCTAGATGTATGTTATTATAACGATGATGATAATAACAATAAATAATAATATGAATAATATGAAGATGAATATAATACATCATACCTCCTGCACACTTCTTTGCATTTCGACAAATTGATTTCATAAAAACAAACAGTACATGTCGTCCATTACTCAAGCTTATTAATAATAATATTATTCAGCCCAACAAACGGATTCAACCGATATACCCAAAATATTAACAGCGCCCCCATTGTTATATACACAAACCGATATTGTACTTCTAAATGGCCTATAATACACAATATTACGATCAAACATTACATTATGTACATCAGATGGGATGAATCTAAATAAGGCACACACAACGAAACACTAAATCAATTTTCGTTAATACAATAATATTGCACAGAGATTATTGCCAAATTGCTATAGATTATAATGGTCGTATCAATGTTTTTAGGAAAGATATCATTATAATAATACGAAATTGCTATATAAAGAGAAGAAATCTTACGGGGTTTTTTTTTTTTTTTCAAAACACTGGATACAACGTTTACTGTTTTATTGTCTTCGTCTCCTCTGACAGATGAGATGATTATCAATGTTTAAATAGACACTACAATACCACCACGCGAAGACACACGAGAACCGACAACCGTATTAGCTTGGCCCCCGACGACGATTGCAAGTTAAAGGCAATTATCGCTATAAAAGTAGAAGTATGGCAATGAATGCGAAATTACCGCATCGAAACGTAATATTTCCTGAATCAAAGCATAAGCAAACTATATAACCATGAAAACGCATGAAATATAAATACATACGCATATACAAATGTCAATTGATATAACAGTAGGCTAGGGAGTAATACCATTACACAACAGGGCACATTAACGTTAGTGAGACCAGGGTCGGAAATTGCATTTATTATCGGGGCGGAATAAAATATGTAGGCCAACTCTGTTTCTAACTCTTATTTTCACTGTTGTTACTTCAGAGATTTTGTAAACCTACTTTTTTCAATAGTTTACGTCTGCGGTAATTCCATTTTTACTGATGCTAGGCATATCATGTAATTTTGCTCCGTTTTGGTACTTTAAAATGTCATTTATTGCGTAATCCTAACTTGAGTTATTTTTAGTTAGAGACGTGAGTCTCTCAATAATAAAATTAAAACACTGGGAATAGTAAAGCCGGGCACAAGCAGACGGTCGCGATTCTACGAAGAAAGCAACGCGCGCAACGGCGGATCGTATTTAATGACAAACTGCTCAGTCTGCTATCGACAATCAGCAGAGGAGGCATCGCGTCGTGAATCGCTCACAGAGAGCGGAGCTCGGCCGACGCTCGTACGTCAGTCGTAGGACGTCGGGTGTCTCGGCTTTACCACGATACGATGAAGCAAGTTTCTAGACAAAAGGACAAGCAGAGGAAAATAAATAGACGTTACAATGGGTTAAATTATATTTAATCTGGCTGTTGCTCTCATCGTCAGCAGATGTTTACACAAACATAACTTACTTTAAGCCTGTTTTCCACTAGCCGAATTTATTCGCTCGAATCGAAATCGTCGGTTCATGCGCATGCGCATTCACATTTCTATCGGCGTTTTTCGCACTTTTTGGGAAGCGAAAAATGCACAACCAATCAGAGCTCAGGAAGCGAACAGACGCTTTTAAATTCGCGCGCGAATAAATTCGGGCCTAGTGGAAAACAGGCTTAAAGGCTGTTTTCCACAAGGCGAATTTATTAGCGCGAATCGAAAATGTGTTCTTGTACGCATGCGCATTTGAGAAAATTAAACAAAAATTTTTGATTCGAGCGAATAAATTCGTCTAGTGGAAAACGCCCTCCTTAAGCCGGTTTTCCACTAAGCGAATTTATTCGTGCGAATTTAAGGCGTCGACTCGGTTCCTGAGCTCTGATTGGTAGCGCACATTTTTCGCTTCGCAAAAAAAGTTGAAACAGAACTACCAATTTTGCTGAAGCGAATACTCAGATAGAAATGTGAATGCGCATGAACGACGCTTTCGATTTGCGCCAATAAATTTGCCTTGTGGAAAACAGGTGAAGTCTGTTTTCCACTAGGCGAATTTATTCGGGCGAATCGAAGGCGTCGGTTCGGTTCCTGAGCTCTGATTGGTGGCGCACTTTTTTTTTTAAAATTATTTGAAAAATAACAGGAATTGTTTTTCGGGGGTGTAGCCTTAACCACTACTGGTGGCGGTGCATGAACTGTCGGTGTCGTATGTTCCCATCCGCTCAAGTTCTATGAACAATTTAGTTTAGATTTTTACTTAAACTATACGGTTTTCTCGGAGGGATAACTAAATGTGGGTTAGTTAAACGTATAGGCCTACTTTACAATAAATAAAATGAATCACAATTTAAACAAGTGTCTCAATTACTAAAATGAAAAACAGTTCGCCCTTCAATTTGAGACCACCTTTGGGACCTGGAAATTTAGGGTAATCTTGGGGTCTCCACATAGAGGGTTAGCTTAATGCAAATATATTGGAGATTGTTATTTGGTTATTTGAAAAATTGGTCTCGAATAATTGGAGGGTACCGTACATTGTATGCTTTTCGCTGTGACGTATAGCCTTTATTTTACACTCGACGTGGAGTTATTATAAGCCTTATATCTTACAATGAGTATACAAAAACAAATACTTAGAAATATGCATTGTTCATTAAATTACTAGTGTAAAAGCTTATGCGTCGAAACATAGTCTAGATTGTGAACCATCTTACATGCTAATAATGAGTTAAAATTGGACAATTTCATAAATCTCGCTCTCATCATATCTTTGGATCAAATGAAGTATTTGTATTACTTTATTTATATATTTATATTTTATACACCGTCACACGTCCATTTCATATTCATTTTGTTCTACATTTTTTTCTGCGTGCATTTTTGTGTTTGGTGAAATAAGTCCATTTCCACGACTGTGATTAGCTAGCCTTTCTGCCGCCACACGCGTCATCAGACGATCGTCATCAAATGTACTGTCTTTCCGTACAGCCCTTGCGATCATTGCATCGTTATAGTTGTTATTGTTGACAACCATGTTCCCTCGGTATTTCTTTCTGTACTGATGTATATAATAAATTGCGAATAAAATTGTAAAATTCAATAAAAGAAGACCAGCGCCAACAATAAGAACTATACTCATTTGCGCACCGCCACCACCATCGCTATTTAACGTTGCACCAGGAGCAAGTTTTTGAATATTGTTATTGGTTTGCGTCGTAGTAATTGTACGCGTTGTAAGTGGTGACGTCATCAGTTGGTTCGCAGTTTGCGTAATGTCGCCGCCATCGTCGATTACTTCATAGCAAACACCGGAAAGTATTTGCTCCACTTTCGGAATGTAATGTTCCCAAAATGAAACTTTGTGCAGACGAAAGAAATCGTTTTCTTTTCGTTTTTGACCGATGTGTAGGAACTGTTGGCCACCGACTGTGTATGCGGGCCAAGGATCGCCCGCAATGTATGGATCTTTTCCCAGGTATTCATTATAAAGACTCGTAGACTCTTGGGATCTTGGGTCATTCGGATTTCTAAGAGAGGAAAAAGAAAACACGAATAATTAGAAGGAAATAATACAAATAAATATACCAACGGAACTTATTTGAAATTGTAAAATGTTGATATCCTAACAAATAATTAATGAATGAACTCACTGAAAAAATAGGGGCGGAAAAACCAAAAAAAACTTTTAAAAATGGGGTTTTTTAAGGTTTTTCTTTACAAATTAAAAAATATATGAGTGAATTTATCTTTATTGTTTGACAACTGCTCTACAAATTAGTCTAAAGGTGTTGTCTGACGTAAGATATTGCCATTCTAGTCCTCTGTGGGTTATTTTTGTTCCATCTGATGAGAATTTAAAAATAAGTAAATTAAAAAAAAAAAAAAAAAAAAAAAAAAAACAAAAAAAAAAAAAAAAAAAAAAAAAAAAAAAAAACTTTTTCCACCCACTCCTATTTATTATTAATAATCAATAATTAATTATCAATAATAATAATAATAATAATAATAATAATAAAAACAATATGAAAATCCTTTTAAGTAAACCAAAAAATCCATTTATAATTAAAATCACTTAATAACAATGATGTCGATGATTATGATAATGATATTGATAATAGTTCTATATACAGAATAATAAATCTGCAGGCCTGTTATTCCGTTATATAAAAGACATGGGATCATTATTACAAATGGCGGTAATATATTATAACATTTTTTTCTAAAACGTAAACGTAAACTTAAATAGATTCAAAAATAATAATTTGAAAATTACCCTGTTTTAGCGAAATTTGACCAGTATGTCATAACTGAAAGACTGATTTGGGCCTCTTTCCTGGTGTAATTATACATGTATACTCCAAAGCCACCAGACGCGAGAAGTAACGGCGCCCCCACAACGAACTGCACTTCATCCAGAAACACGGAGCCTATGAATGAAACACAAGCAAACGAGAAAATATATAGAAGATCAAACTAAAAAAAATTAAAGCACATATACAGAAGTCAAATGTATAAATCATTCAAATTATTACGTCGGCACCGGCCCACATCGTTAATTTATTCAAGTCTCGTCTTTAAGAGTGTTTTGCACTCAAGAGGTCCGACCAGATCTTCCCCGATGGGGGGAGGGGCTCTTAACTTGCATGGTTTTCTATCAAATTATCCTTTTTAAATAAAGAATACCATAATGAGAAGGGGTTGCCTGTCTCTTATACACATCTAGATGTGTATAAGAGACAACTACCTTGTTGGGGAGTTCGGACCCCCCGTCGGGGAATTCTTGGTGCCGCCCCAGTTAAAGTGTACAGTAGGCCTAGTCGATTTTGCCAATTTGTCCGTGCTGAAAAGCACAATATTACAATATGTAATTTTCATTGTGAATACACTGTGCAGTAAGCCTATAATCAGCATAGGCGTAGATCCCGGGGGGATGGGGGATATATATCTCCCCCCCCCCCCCCCA